ATAAGCAAAGTTCTTCTGAAAAAGAAAAATTAAGTATGAGGCATAACACTCCCTGATATAAATATCTATGACACAGCTACGGTAACCAAAAGAGCATAGTAGTAGTACAATGACAGAGACATAAGCCAATGGGAAAAGAATCAAGAGCCCAGATAGCAACATATTTACAGTCAAATGATAATTTAACACAGAAACAAAACTCATTCAATGGGGAAATGACAGTCTAACAAATGATGCTGGCAAAAGTAGACATCTGCCTGCAGAAAACTGTAATGGATTCACAACTCAAATTATACATAAAAACCAAGACCATCAGAGACAAATCAGGAGCAAATTTAGGAGACAGCCATCATGGTTTCTGTTGACCAAGAGACTTGAATGGAGGCTGTCACCTTGGACCTGTCACACGACCCAACAGGAGTGGCCGTCTTGAGCACATCCCATGATGACCACATGGCTCAAACGGAGGCTGCCATTCTGATTCCCACACACGCTGCCTCTAAGGCTTTGGCAGCAGTAATCTTGAAAGGCCACATGACTAGCTTAACTTAATCTCTTAAGCCAGTCATCTTGCTGTGGTTAGATGCTGTGGAGTCGAGTAGGATTCATACCGACCCTGAGAAGAGCCAACTTGAACCCTGCCCTGTCCTGTGCCATCCTCATCGTCTCTGAGACACGAGAGCACCTGGCTAAGGTCACAGTTTCAATCCATCTTGTTAGGGTTTTTCTTCTCCTCTGCTGACTCTCAATCTTTCCAAAGATGATGTCTCTCTCCAAGGACTAGCATCATCTAGCTACATGTCCAAAGTATGAAAGACGAACTTTTTTCATCTTTGCCTTCGAGGAGGATTCTGGTTGCACCCTTTCCAGGACATACCCGTTTGTTCTCTTGGCAGTCCAGAGATGTTCAATACTCTTCTCCAGCACCGCAACTCAAAGGCATCAATTCTTCTTCTGTCATCCTTATTCATTGCCCAGCTCTCAGATGCGTAAAAAGTAATCGGGAAGATCATGACCTGCATTCGATGTAACTTCATCCTTCAAAATGATCAATAGCACCTAACAACAATAATAATTTTTTTAGGGAGCTCTGGTGGCCTAGTGGCAAGACGCTGCACTGCAATCCCA